GTTAACGCCTACGAAATTTTACTGAGCAATGTTAAATTTTTATTTATGTTCACCGACACAATTTTTACACACTTCAATTAATGGCCGTGCCAAGCTAACTCGTTCGCAATGTAAAAATCAAGAAAAACACTGTATAAAGGAAATACAAGCACAAAATCGATTGTGGGAGTTTTATTCAAGAAACCCAAGCATCCAACACGCACATACGGTGCGATAACGTCACTTATGCAAACTATGTAATTTTTTATGAGAAACGTTGGCAAATTCAACATCTTATTATATAACTCTGATATAGTTCTGCTAGGCTATAGAAATAAAATGATAATATTTAAACTACAAAAAACAAACATCTCTCTTGTCTCACTAATAACTAGATATTAAAAAATGTATTTTCTCATACTCAGCTCAGTGTTAACAAACATTGAATACAGTACATACTTGTTGAACGTTAAAAAGAACTACCGACAATTCACAAAAACTAGCCTCCGTCCTGAGAACTGGCAAGAAACTCAGCGGGCATGTCTTTTTTTAATTTTTTTAAATATTTTTTTTTTTTAATTTTTTTTTTTTAAATATTCTTTTAATTGCATAAGTGCGTATAGCACCGTATGTGCGATATGTAGTCTCTCCGCGTCCAATTGAATAGAATCGGCCCGTACATATTCGTAGCCGGGTCGGTAAAGTTTAACAATGCGCGTGGGCAGGAGCGGTTCCTGAACTCGAGCGCGGGCGGGCTGTGCGCGTCCAGCGGCGCCGACACCGTGCGGCTGGCGCGCGCGCTGCTGGGCGCCCCCCCGCACCCGCCCCGCCTCGCCGCGCTGCAGGACTTCCTGCTGCTCATGCATCAGGTATGCAACACCACTTCATGCGCCGCACTAGGTAAACTGGTTCGATAGGCACTTACGACTCGATATCGTTTCCACGAATTATGTCTCTTACGAGTAGGTGAGTGTAACAGAGATTCGAATGCCAAAGTTGTAAAAAAACTACATCAGGAATTTTTTATATTAAGCATTTTTTTATTGCTTAGATGTGTGGACTAGCTCACAGCCCACCTGGTGATTACTGGAGCCCGTAGACATCTGCAACCTAAATGCGCCACCCATCTTGAGATATAAGGGCGCAGTATAGTTACAACGGCTGCCCCACCCTTCAAACCGAAACACATTACTTCTTCACGCATTTCATTTGTAACTCCACTACAGCGGAACTTGACCCTAAACTGACGTACTGTACCTCCTCTCTCCGCCAGGCCAGCGACACATTCGTCACTCACTCGAGGGCCAACTTCTATTTCCTGCTGACAGCGGAGACACAGGAAACTAGCGAGTTCACAGACTCCTTCAAACGGAAGTCATCAAGGCGGTACAGACGGACGGACGCGGCCAGGGTCCGCGCGTCCGGGGACCCGCCCGACGGCGCCTCGAGCGACAGCAACCTCATCCTGCTCAAGGACATGGCTCAGAGCGGACACAACGAGGAAGGGACGGACAGCAGCGCGGAGTCCACCAAACAGTTGAAGGGGATCATCAACGCGCAGATTAAGGAAGGCAGGTGAGGAATACAGTTTGACACACATGTGAAGTAGCCTCTCCGCCTGCCGAAGCTCTCGTCAATTGGTTGGAAGGACTTCTTTTCGTGTGTTTCCTCCTTCCATATTTCATTGTTATGCTTTTCCATGTCCCTTTTAATACTAGTGTTCATCTTGCTTTTACTAATAAAATATAATTAATTAATCTTGATATATGTAATATGTCAGATGGTACTGGAGTAAATAACGCAAATTTGATTTATCTAAAAATAGAAAAGTTTATTGTTATTATAAAATTAAACACTAAAAACATTTAAACATTGTGAATCTATTCACCTAAAAATAGAAAAATCGACAATTAAAGGTTTTTTACTTCCAATATTTCATAAATCACTTCACGGTTAAGATCAAATTCTCTANAACTCTGACAATTGTCGATTTGTAATATGTCAGATGGTACTGGAGTAAATAACGCAAATTTGATTTATCTAAAAATAGAAAAGTTTATTGTTATTATAAAATTAAACACTAAAAACATTTAAACATTGTGAATCTATTCACCTAAAAATAGAAAAATCGACAATTAAAGGTTTTTTACTTCCAATATTTCATAAATCACGTCACGGTTAAGATCAAATTCTCTATCTGAGTGTGTCAGTGCCAATGTCATTCTTATATATCATCTTACTCTATGGCCACGTACACAACATGCAGTTTACAAGCTTACATATATAATAAAAGTCGGGCTTGTTCGAACATTTATGATGATTCGAGAACGGCTGGAAAGATATTGAAAATCTTACGAAAAAAATAAAATAAAAGAAATTTCTTTTTCCCATAAAAATGTCCATGCATTTCGTAACTATCAAACATCTAATGTTCACCCCCTTGCTATGGCAAACTCCCCCTTAAATTAAAAAACGTATTTAAATAAAGGTTTCAAATCGACAAGATACTATATATTCTTTATTATTATTCATTGGATTGGACAGCATTAACATAATGTATATTGGCTGTCGAATATTTATGCGTGCGTTCAGAAATTAATTACGTTATAAACTAAGGAAAATATATTAAGCTACGATACGCTTGGATTGTGCTGCCTTCATCGCACACTGATATTCAGCACGACATTCGTTGATCGTTAGTTTTAAATAATTATTTTGTTAATTTCCTTCCGCAGGAAGAATATGTCGTCAGCGTCTGAACAGTCCGACGCAACTACCGGTAAGCCTAACGCTTAGCTTCGACCTTGTTTCGGGTCATTACCGATATTGAGTGCGCTCCGTGTGCCAACACTAGTTCGGATATAGCGCGACTCACTCCGCTGTAACTGCACGTCACCGGCAAGTGCGCTGAGGGTGAGGGCACTACACATGTGTGTAATGCAAGTTTGAAAGGCACTGCGAGTGTCCATGCACGCTTCGCCTTGTGTAGTCCTGCGCACGTCACTCCCTCCATCCGCAGTGAGGCACGCTGGGAGGGTGGGGCCGGTCGCAGTGCCGAGCGGATGGCATGCGTGTTGTGCATCGCTTAGCACCAGGTGGTGTGTGGGCTCGTTTGTCCATCCATTAAAACCGAAGTTTCTTGGATTATTCTAATAAAAATGTTCGCACTCGAGGCTGAGTTCTATCATCTGTTTTCAAGCGCTTGGCGATCTGCCAGTAATGTTAGCGGCGTGTTCGTGGGTTACTACCCGTGACGTACCGGTCATCCTCTTGTATACAACATTCGCCGCACAGAGCGATAGAGAAAATGTAGTATGTTTACAGCGCGTGTCCGCCATGCACCGCACTAATTCCTGCCAGTGTAGCAAGCGCACACAACTGTATGCACGTTACAGAGAAGGGTGCGGAGGGGAGCGGGGGGGAGCAGCGAGGGGACGAGCTGAACGACTACATCGTCGTCGAGCTGGACGAGCTCAACCCTGAGCCGCAAGAACCGCACGAACCGCCCGTCGCCCGCATGTACCAGGTGCGTCTCGCGACCGGGACCGGACGGGGTGCCGGGGGGCACGACACGGGGTCTGCAAATAATTGTGTTTGTGCAGCGCCGGGTCCGCGCGGGGGCGGCGCCGGGCTGGACGGCATGCGAGGGCCTGCTGCTGCTGCTCCGGGACGCCATCGCCACGCTGCCCGATCACGACCTTGTACAAGTAAATTTATTTCTTAAGTCGCCACCACACTGTTCCGACAGTTTCGGTTACTAACCACTCTTAGTGGACCGCGCAGCGACTCTATAAGCGTCACAAGACCGGTCCACATATGAGAGTATTGAATAATCTGATGTGTGCAGAGCAGCGGCGTGGCGGAGCGGCTGGTGGTGCTGGGCAAGCACCGCGCCGCCTGCGTGCGCGCCGCCATCGTGCGGGCCGCCGCCGCCCTGCAGCGCCGCGCGCCCGCGCCCGCGCCGCCGCTGCACTACCTGCACCTCGCCAACCAGGTCGGCACGCGCTTCTGCGCTTTATCACTTCACGGAATTATTTCATTTCTTCTTAATCCTGTGAAGCAAAGCGTATCATGATATGAAGATACAATTATCGATCAACATGCAGAATATAGATTTGATAGACGATTCCGTTTTCGCTCAGTTCTAAATGTACCGAGCGCGCAAACAGGCGACTGATCGTAAAACGTAATGAGGACAAAACCTCATCAAAATTATTATACTGACCAGCGAGAAAACCATAACTATTACGGATGAAGTTAACATATATTTTACAAATGATAAGGATTTACAATAAGAATGGAATGATAATGATGCGATAGATATGACTGTTGGGTGTAATAGGGCCGAACATCTTGCCAAGCAATAACGCCACACTGCACGTTCATTTAAAGTTGCAGTTGAACATAACAACATTCGTACAACTCGCGACCGTAACATTTAACATTAACATTTATTAATTGCAACGTTACCATATAACATATAACAACATAGAACATTTGTACGTGATTGTGTGTATTGCGTGCGTTATTGTGTATTGTGCGTTAGTAAAATCCGGAGTTATTATTAGTAAACAACTATTGCACCTCAGCTCTGTGCCCTCACATTTTTTTTGGTCCTTCGAGCCGAACTTCGCCCTGGCCTACGGCCTCTCCCAGCTGGTGACACAGCCCACCCGTGTCCCAGATATTGAGGGGCACGAGCCTTCTCTGTTGGACCTTCTGCTGACCACCGATCCAGCCGGATACAGTGTGGTGGTCGACGCTCCGCTTGGATCGTCTGATCACTGCCTTATCCGTGCTGCCACACCACTCTCTCGTCCTAGTCGTCGAACGACGANAAAAAAAAAAAAAAAAAAAAAAAAAAAAAGAACAGAGAGTGGATAAGATGACAGACAGATGTGACGTCCAACAGATAGCGCTCTACGAGGGATCGTGGGAGCTGGCGGCCTCGTGCGCGGCCCTGCTCACCAAGTGCGACGTGCCGCTGGAGGACCAACTAGATGTAAGTCATAGCTCTCCCGCCGCACGCACGGCGCCGCACGGGGGGGCGTGGGAGCTGGCGGCCTCGTGCGCGGCCCTGCTCACCAAGTGCGTAGTCGGATTAGGGTTGCAATAGAGAGTCTAAAATTTATTACGAATTTAAAATGAAGTAAGGCAAACCGTCCTGTCCTGAAACCAAGTCACCTGTTGTCTTGCAGGAAGACATCTGGCTGGACGTGACGGAGGAGTCCATGTACCGCAGCCCGCCGCTGCTGGCGCTCCTCCCGCGCTGCCTCCGCGACGTGCCCCTGGCGCATAACATCACGCTCATCATCAGGAGGATCGTCGATAAGGTAGCACCGAGCCTTCCTTTCTTCTTTTAATTATTTGAATATTTTGCTGTGTTTGCTTTGTGTATTATTGTTTACTCAAATGCAACGGAAATTCATGTTCATGTCAAAATGTAGTATAGGAAAGTTTTAAATAAAAACTATGGACAGTAAATCACTTGAAGTAGTCAGTGCAGTGGGAAGCAACTAGTGCGGGACCGCCACCACGTCCCGCATCAATAAAGCTGAAACTGACCTTTTTCTGTCGCAGGCATCTATTAAACTAATAAGCGAAGTGGCCGTAGTGGAGGTGGTGGTGCGCAGCATCAGAGACGTGGGGATGATGAGCGAGCCCGAGTTTGAGGGTCGGGAGCTGTTGCTGGGCGACCTGCACGAGATACTCAACAGGATCGCCGTCAAGGTCCTGGACAACGTACACCTCAGCGCGCAGGTACCCCCAGGGCAGCTCGCACGCCTCACCACAAACTTGGGATTCTGCAGTTATTTTATTATATATATGTATTTATTATATACAAGTTCCCGCAACAGTGCGGATAGGTTCTCTCTGTGCCACAGCCGGGTCCACGCGCACGGGGCGGCGGGCGGGTTTTTTTGTGAATTTTTACGAAGCGCCAAAGCGTCAATGTCCATAGTAACATACTTAGTAAATAAATTGTTATAACGTACGTGAGTGGCGTGCGCTTGACGCAAAGCAACAAGTGTCAACACCTTCCGTGTATAGACAGTGTCGGTGACGTCACACACAGTCTCGCTGCGATCTAATTTCATTTAATTCGTCCCCACTGAGAAGTTTCAAACTAAGCAACGTAATTTCATCTCGTTTCAATCATTTTTCATACAATCTAGAATATGAGAGAAAATATAAGACTTGGCTTGAGGGTCTCGTTACATGCCATAAATAAGCAAATGTTGACTGGACCGCTGTGCACGTGCGAGTGTCATCACCGCCCTCTGTTGCAGCCGATCATAGATATGCACCACCTGCTGAGGTTCGCCGAGGGCGAGGGCGGGGCGGAGGGCGCGGGGCGGCGGCGGGCGCTGCGGGACGCGCAGGTGTCGCTGTACGGCGCCCAGCTGGACCGCCTGCAGCACCTGCTGCACCAGCCGCACCACCACAAGCACGCCAACTACTTCGCTAACGGTAGGCGCGCTCCGGCCGCGGTGCTGTTAGCAGTTTATGGGCGGAGGTTACCGGTGACGGTTCATGCTTCAGTGCTGACGTCGGCGGTGTCCCTGGGCGACAGCACGTCCCGCACGGAGCTGGCAGCGCGTCACCAGGCCACCGTGCTGCGCGCCGTCAACTTCCTGCTGCAGCAGACGCCGCGGGAAGCCGCGCCGCAGGAGCTGGTGCTGTTCGAGAGGTTGTTGGCTACGTTACTGCTGGGTCAGTGTAGCGACAGTTTTGTACTCAGCGTTTTTCATTCTTTTCAAAGATTTTTCTAAATGATCATATTCATATACCTTCTGTTGATATTGTACATCAGCGGTGAGCGAGAGCGGGCGCACGCGTCGCTGGGCGGGCGGCGCGGGGGGCGAGTGGGGGGCGGCGCTGCACGAGCTGGTGTGCTGGGCGGCGGCCCCGCTGGCGCCGGCGCGGGCGCTGCAGCCGGCCCTGCTCCGCCAGCTGTACTGCACGCCGCTGCCGCTCGTCACGCCGCCGGACCCGCACGCCATGAGGAAGGTGAGTCGCTGAACACTCGAGCGGGACGTCTAAGTTTATCTAATTAGTAGCACTGTAATATCAAACATACCAGCTTCAGTCAGGAGAGTCGCTGAATACAATATAATAAAATAATAGGTCTTACCTATGAACATGTCGTTGAAACGTGATGTATGTGTGCTGCCGGTACTATATAACATGGACCTTCACATGGACTTATATTTTCAAGCTGTCATTTGTTTATTGATTAGTGTTTTGTTTCAACTACATTTGTATATTTTTCATCATTACGGATACGATAAAAATACACGTAATTATGGGATACGAGTTCCATCAGTCATATGGATCATCATGTTGGTTAGATCCTGGTTCGGGACTTAGGCAATGGTCTGAACGAACACTTAGCTCTAAAAAGACATGGTCACTGTTTGGTTGCCTAGAGTCGGTATAATTTATCATAGCTCCAGCTTATCAAATGACACCAGCTTTACTGCGGATATGTACTGTGAGGAACTGGACACAAGGACGGAGAATCTCCGGCCAGCGTTGGGCAATCGCACGTCCCCGCTGCTCCTACACAGCAACGCTCGACCTCACACGGCACAACAGACGGTCTCGAAGCTACAAGAGGACAGGATAGAGAAGAGATTGAAAGTTCTGCGCCATACCCCGTACTCACCAAACTTTGCGCCGACAGACTTCTACTTTTTCCAAAGTTTGGACAACTTCTTGGTAGAGAAAACATTCAATAACCTAAAGGCAGTAACAAAATTCCTTTTAAAAGTTTTTTGGGTCCCGGACACGACTTCTTCAAGAAGGATATTAAAAAATTACGACTGTGCTGGCAGAGATGCATCAATACCATGAGTGCATATTTTGATTGATGGAAGTAAAATATATTTATAAAAAAAATTACTAGTTTTTTACTATCCGCTATCCGCTAATTTCATACGTAAATACCTAATAATAGGGTTGGGGAAAAAGTTTCTTCGCATTTTTAAGCTATTGCATAGATTTTATCGCGGGCTTTGAGCGCGGTGACTGAATCAAGAAATTCCGTAACGAACATAACCTAACACCCCCACTACTCATCCGTGGATATCGCACCGTCTCATTCGAGGCGGCGTGTGTGTTGGCGGGGACGCCGCCATGGGAGCTGGAGGCGGAGTCGCTCGCTGCCGACTATCGGTGGCGCAGTGAGCTTCGTGCTCTGGGCGTGGCGCGTCCCTCCAAAAGTGAGCTGCGGGCGCGGAAGGCCCATTCTCGGCGGTCCGTGCTCGAATCGTG